CCCCAAAACCCCAAAACCCCAAAACCCCAAAACCCCGGTTAGTTAGTCTATATAAATGGAATTATGATAGTTATAATTAATCATTTCAATGAAATTTTCTACATAAAATTTAATACAAAACAATCATCTGACCCTAGCTGTATTCATAACAGGGTTAGCTCTGATGATATTTAAAATAATCTTTTGCTACAAATTTAAGAGGACTATAAAAGTTCTTCTTTTTCTAAATTCTCTCATTATCAACGATTTATCACTAAGGTAGGTTCAAAACTAAATTTAAATTATTTCCAAATTTTGTCCAATTTTCAATGGAAATTTCATTTCATACACTAAAATTGGCAATGTTGCCCAAAAGAATTAAATTTGGATCAGGAATATTAAGCTATTTTTATAGGAAATATGATTTAAAGCTATCTAAAGTAACTGCATTCTTTTTGTAGTTGGGACAGAAATTTATGAGCATATTCATTGTAAAATTGTTGCTCTATGGAGAGTTACCCTCGTTCAGAGACTAGTCCTTTGTCTTTCTTCTGGGGTTACACTTCATATCATTCTTATACTTTCATTCCTATATGGGAAACGAGTTAATGAAGAAGATTAAGAATAGTTAGCATAGAATATTATTTCAAGAAACCCTGAAAGGCTATGGTAAAGGATTAAATCTGATGAGTTCATGCAAAAAAGCAATTGTCTTGGAAACTAATTTTGCATATTTCTTATTCGTATTATTGATAAGAGGTTCAGCCTCTGCATTCTTTAAATCTGGAATGTTAAGTATTTTACTAAAGGAATAGTTCACTGCTGAGAAGGCAAAGAAGAACTTATTTCAAAACACTTTACCTACAATTTTCGTTTACTCTCTGAGAGTATTGAACAGAATAATCTGGCAGAAATATTCAACAGAAATAGTGAATGAGGACAGCTTAATTCAAACTTTTATGATATATATGGTCATGAGCAGATGTCTTACAACTTTATATAAAATCTTAAGAAAGACTAAATCTGCTGATATAAAGAATTAAAAACCAAATGCTATATCATCACCAAAGCAAGAAGATTTGTGCTAAGCCCAGAAGATTAGCATATTATAAAAATCAGATATGGCTAATGAGTCATTAAGCAATTTAATGATGTCATAAAAGAAATTCTAAATTCAGGAATAATAAGATTTAAGTTTATTCTAATGCTTAGGAATAGACTAATCAGATAAATTTATCGCTACAAATATAATATCTAAAAACAATAGATTATATAACGAATCAATAAACTCAAAACAAAGCAGGAAGTTAAACAATAATCTAAGAAAAAGAACTCAATTTCGCTATTGAGAAAATTTGCATATAGTGTAGAGTTAATGAAGACATTAGCTAGAAATTAGAGGCTAGCTAGTTTTTCTTATGTGTACAATTTACTTAACTTATATATTCAGTCTTAATTTCCATTAAACATTCATAGTCATAAAATCATCCTGGGGTTTTGGGGTTTTGGGGTTTTGGGGTTTTGGGGTTTTGGGGTTTTG